CTCAGCATATTGTATGAATTTCATATGAATTTGGAGGGACACGCAAATCAGCCCATAACAGACACATAGAGTATGTGCTGTGTGAGTGTAATACCAGGATGGAGCCATCAGTGGGTGTTGTTGGGAAAACTGGCTAGCCATCTGGGGAAGAACAAACCAGATCCCCTTCCTCACGGACAAAAGGCCTAAATATGAACCCAAAAACTATTTGGCAGAAGGTAATTGCTGTGGACTGAACTGTGTCCCCCAAATTTACTTATTGAAAGCCCTAAGCCCCAATGTGATGGCATTTGGAGGCAGGCCTTTGGGAGGTGATTGGGTTTAGGTGAGGTCAGGAGGTTGGGCCCCCAATGGTGGGATTAGTGCCCTTATAAGAAGACACCAGAGATCCTCGCATGCTCGCTCTTTGCCACATGAGGGCACAGCGAGAAGGCAGTCTGAGTAAAGCCGAGATGTGCTCCTGAAAAAAGGGAAGAAACAGGGTGGGATCTGTAGCACGATGCTGTTTGGGGGTAAATTTAAAGTACACGCATATAGCTCAAAATTCCATGTTGTGAGAGAAAGCATACAATGAAAAGGAAATCCCTCAAATTTCAGAACAAGCACCATTGCGAGGGGGACGGGGGAAGTGGGTAGAAGGGGGAGAAATTGTCAACAAGAGCAGATCACCAGTGTCATGAACTCAGGGGCACAAATCTGCATCTGAGGTTTAAGATGCTAGTAGGTCCCACTAAATGCTGGCGTGGCCAGATGCAGTTTGTGGTTCCATCGGGAACATTGGGGTCTGCTGCTGAGTGGGTGGCCGAGCCGGAGACTGATGGGGGATGAGGGAGAGGTCCAGGTCTGTCCCCCCGACATGTGCCCACTGTTAGAGAGGGGGCCAGAGGTGGGGTGTCCCAGGAGGAGGACGGGGAGAGTGGGAAGGGCCCTGCTTCCCTAGAACCCAGAGCACAGCGGGCCGCCTGGTCTCTCCCACCAGCCCCGTCGTCCAGAAGGAGGCTGGTGCTCTCTGGCCGGCTGAGCGCTGGGCTGGTCCCAGAACTGGGGTCTAGGTCCGTGCGGCCCTGCCAAGTGACCGTGGACAGGCCTGCCCATGCTATGTGCTGGAAGGGTCTGCGGCGGCCCCGTGAGCTGCAGAGTCGGTATCTGAGGCTCAGCGTGGAGGGTGGGCCGCCAGGGCTTCGCAGCACTTTGGTGAGTGAGTCCTTCCCGGGCGATCTTCTTGGTCGCTTGAGGGCACAGTGGCATTTTGTAAGACACGCCCCCATGGGCAAGCTTCCAGGGCCTTTACCCCAGGACCCTGGGACCCCTGGGGCACCTGCCTCCTGCAGGGGAGAGGGGTATGGCTGGTGAGTGCGGTGGGACGTCGGCACAGCCTGAGTTGGTCTGAGCCACTGCGAGGCCAGTCTGCTGGGCCGTGGGCTTTGGGGCCACGCAAGGCTGCCCATCCCACACCGTCCCCTGGTCCCCAGCCCCACGCAGTCTAATCTGGGAGGCCACCCGCCCTGAGAGCAGGTTTGAGGTCAGATCACAGAAGCCGGAAGGAGTTGGCTGGTATTTCACCCCAGGAGTGGGTGTTCTCTGACCATCAGAGAACATTCTTCACCCTCATTCTGAAGAGATGGCCTGTGGGAGAGGGCCCGGTTTCCATGGCAATGTGTTCACACCCCCGAGGCCTCAGGGCCAGGGTCTGGCTTCTGCCAGGGTGGGGACAGCAGGTGACACCCAGAACTGATCACACCCCGGAACGTGTTGGGGGGCCACGTGGCCCTCCCGGGGGAGTGGATGCCACCAGGAGCTGGGAACCAGGCACACTCAGCGCCCACCCCCAGGGCTTGGGTGCATCTCAGGGTCGAGGGAGGCCCCCCCGCCTCCCCCGGCTGGTGGCTTCCCTTCTTGCCTTAGAATTGTTTTCAGAGGCACTTTGCTGCTTAGCTAAGGTCAGCGTGAAGTGAAGGCTTCGGTGGCCTTGGCTGCTGGCTTGACTGTAGCTTCGAAGGTCTTGTTTCCAAGGTCAAAATAAGTAACTTACTGGCAAGACGTGTTCTAAACAGTTACTTGCAAGTCAAGAATTAGCTTTATTTTATTTTATTTCTTTTAACATCTTTATTGGAGTATAACTGCTTTACAATGGTGTGTTAGTTTCTGCTGTATCACAGAGTGACTCAGCTACACGTATACATACATCCCCATATCTCCTCCCTCTGGCGTCTCCCTCCCTCCCACCCTCCCTGTCCCACCCCTCTAGGTGGTCACAAAGCACCGAGCTGATCTCCCTGTGCCGTGCGGCTGCTTCCCACTAGCTATCTATTTTACGTTTGGTAGTGTATATATGTCCATGCCGCTCTCTCATTTTGTCCCAGCTCACCCTTCCCCCTCCCCGTGTCCTCAAGTCCATTCTCTACGTCTGCATCTTTATTCCTGTCCTGCCTGTTCATTAGAACCTTTTTTTTTTTTTTTTTTAGATTCCACATATGTGGGTTAGCATACGGTATCTGTATGACAGACTAGGTCCATCCACCTCACTGCAAATAACCCAATTTCGTTTCTTTTTATTAGCCATATTTTAAAACGGCACTTGGGCAGTGGGGTTTGGATTTAAAATAAACAAAAACCAAAATGTCTGTGTTGTTGGAATAGCTGTGATGAACATTTAAACTACTTATGGGCTGAAAATAGCAAGCCCAGAATGGAACAGCTCCGTTTGCATGATTTTTTCAGAAATATATCAAGTTGGGATTCATCAGTGGGTTTTTCTTTTTTTTTTTACTGAGGTATTGTTGATTAACAATATTACATGTTTCAGGTGTATGACATAGTGATTCATAATTTTTAATTGTTATGTTCCATTTATAGTTACTACTAAACACTGGCTGTATTCCCTGTATAGTTCAATACATCCCTGTAGCTTATTTATTTTATACACAGTAGTTTGTATCTCTTACTCCCCCAACCTGTCTCGCCCCCCCTCCCCACTGGTGACCACTGGTTTGTTCTCTACATCTGTGAGTCTCTGCTGCTTTTTTGTTATATTCACTAGTTTGTTGTATTTTTAAGATTTCATATATAAGGGAGATCATATAGTATTTGTCTGTCTGACTTATTTCACTGAGCATAATATCCTCCAACTACATCCATGTTGCTGCAAATGGCATTCTTTCATTCTTTTTTATGGCTGAGTAATATTCCATTGTATATATGTGCCACATCTTTATCCATTCATCTGTTGATGGGCACTTAGGTTGTTTCCGTGTCTTGGCTATTGTAAACAGTGCTGCTGTGAACATTGGGGTGCATGTATCTTTTCAAATTAGTGTTTTCATTTTTTTCAGGTATATACTCAGGAGTCGAATTTCTGGATCATATGGCAACTCTATTTTTAGTTTTTTTCAGGAACTTCCATACTGTCCTCCACAGTGGCTGCACCGGTTTACATTCCCACCAACAGTGCAGGAGGGTTCCCTTTTCTCCACATCCTTCCCAACATTTGTTATTTGTGTTATTTTTGCTGATGGCCATTCTGACAGGTGTGAGGTGTTATCTCATCGTGATTTTGATTTGCATTTCCCTTCGTCTGTGGTGTTTTGACCTCAAGGGTCAGACCTCATCTTGAATGTGAATTTGAAAACGTCAGTTCCACGTGGATGATCGGAGGCCACACCCTGGTGTGAAGGGGAAAGTTCTAGGCTTGGAAGAGGACCCCTGTCTTCGGGAGGCCAAGGCAGCAGAGGGGCTGCCTGATGGCAGCTGAGGTTCCCCTGTCTGAGGACCCCGGTCCTCGTAGCAAGACGAGGGAGGGTGCTGCTCAGACAGAGGCCTTGGGCCCAGGCCACGCATCTCAGGACAGAGAGCGGCTCGTTTTCCCTCCTGATCAGGAGACCAAGGGATCGGGGCAGCAGGCGGGGCTCAGGTGGGGCTCAGGTGTACCTGGAGGTGGAAGCGTGACTTAGCCACGCACGGGAGGACAGCGTCCCCGTGGACCAGGCCTGAGAGCCGAGCTCTGACCTGACGTGCACCTGCACCCTCTCCCCCCGCCTCCCCGCAGCCTGCGGTCACCTGCAAGACCCCTGGGGTGCTGCCCTCCTCCTCCTCCAGAGAGAGAAAGAGATGTTTAAATAGAGGGGAAGTAACTGCCTTAAGACTTACTCCTGTCTTCTGGGCCCTGGGAGCAGGCGAGCACAGGGATGTTTGGATCTCTGGTCCTGCTTTTGCCTCCCCAGGGCCCGGCACCTGGGGCTCCTCTGAGGCTCCTGCACTGACCGGTTTCCAAGAATCCCCTTTTTTAAACAGGCAGGCGGGCAGCAAGCAGGCGTCCTGACTGCCAGGGTGCATTTCCTGCCTGAGGGGCCCCAGCTTCATGCTTCTCTTTTGGGGAGACGTGTGCCTGGGGGTGGGTCACATCCCCGAGCGTGGTCATTGCACTTTGGGATCCAGACCCTGACCTCTGACCCTGCATCTGGTTGCCATCCCGAGGATATAAAGTGTCCTGGACCAACGTGCACACATGCCCTGGGCGATGGGCGTCCCCACCTGCCCGGCAGCCTGCGCTTCCCATCCTGCCTGTGGGTCTGTCTCACACTAAACTCGGGCGATGGAACGGCCGGGCTGCCTGGCGGGCACAGCCCGAGCCAGCCTCGTCGGCCTCTGTGCCCTTCGAGTAAGCAGTTACAGAGCCTGCTTTCTTCCCATTTCTGCATCTGGTGTCTCAACACCCTCAGATGCAAAGTGTTCACCTGGGAAGAAGCAGAAAACAGGTCAAGCCTGGTTGCCGTGTCCCCGTGGAAACAGTCACGATCTGTTTTACGTTTTGTAAGTGGAGTCTGTTGAGTGTGATCCCATTTTTGTGAAACCCCAATACGTGCAGATCAGGAGGTCATGACCAAGGGACAAGCGGGTCCCAGGGGTCGTCGTCTCCCCTGGGCAGGAGCCGTGGGAAGCCCCGTGAGGGGCAGGTCGCCTGGTGCCCCTGCAGCACCCCCATGCTGTGCTTTCTTTTCCAGCGACATATTCGATGCCATGTTCCCCGTCATGCACATCGCTGGGGAGACCGTCATACAGCAAGGTACGCCCCCGTCTGCTCCTCCCCGGGGCCAGAACCCTCTGGGAAGAATGGGTTATTCACTTAAAAAGCGTATTTAGGGCTTCCCTGGTGGCGCAGTGGTTAAGAATCCGCCTGCCGATGCAGCGGACACAGGTTCGAGCCCTGGTCCGGGAAGATCCCACATGCCGCGGAGCAGCTAAGCCTGTGCGCCACAACTACTGAGCCTGTGCTCTAGAGCCCACGAGCCACGACTACTGAGTCTGTGCGCCACAACTACTGAGCCTGTGCTCTAGAGCCCATGAGCCACAACTGCTGAGTCCATGCACCACAACTACTGAGCCTGTGCTCTAGAGCCCGTGCGCCACAACTACTGGGCCCATGCCCTAGAGCCCATGCTCTGCAACAAGTGAAGCCATGACAGTGAGAAGCCCGCGCACCACAACGAAGAGTAGCCCCTGCTCGCCGCAACTAGAGGAAGCCCGTACACAGCAACGAAGACCCAGCACAGCCAAAACTAAAAATGAATAAATAAATAAATTCATTAAAAAAAAATGTACATTATACAAAACTCTCATTGTCTGTCTTGAGAAAAGCCACTAATGACGCTTCAGAACAGTCCACTTAACAAGTTAACATGTGTTAATATGTTTCGGTAACCTCCTTGTTATTAAAAACATGGTGGAGCTGTGCTGAGTCCTGGCAACATGCTGGGAGTGGATTTCAGATGGTGGTGTCAGGAGAGGACGTGCCCGTCGGCCTGACTGCAGTAACTGTTTCCCTACGTGTGTGAAATAGGCCGTCCTGTTCTGCACCTTCCATACATACAGCTTTTATTTAAAGATTTTTTAAAATTGATGAGACCTGGTACTGCTTAGCAGAGGTCTCTGAAGCAACGCCAAAAGGTGGCTTATTACAAGAAAAACAAAACTGCGCATCCTTGCATCACGTGTCCTGTTTCCCTTTTCTTGTAGGGGACGAAGGGGATAACTTCTACGTAATCGACCAAGGGGAAGTGGACGTAAGTATCTTGAACTGTTTTTGGAAAATAACTCCTATCTCTGCGCACAAGCTCAGGGCTAGAAGACGTCTTTCTGAGTGATGCGTTTCCGGTTTTTGAATCCAGAAGTGATAGAGTTCACTTAAAAGATACTGTAAGCATATCTGAGCACAGAATGAAATAAGAAGGGCGGCTGCTGATTGCTTCCTGCACAAGCCGACTGCGGTACCGGGGCCCCGATTGACCAGCCCTGCCCCAGCCAGGAGCCCACGACCCAGCAGGCTCACTCAGCCATGCTGGGTGCTAACGCTTTTTAAATGTCTGCGGGCCCTGTGGCTCTGGCTTTACGACGGAACCAGGCTCCGTCCGTCCCAGGGATGTGATGCTCCCTGATTTCGTTCAGCTTCCTCCCCCTACTCCCTGCCTTCAGGAGTGAGGGACCCAGGCTCCGACTTGGAGGGAGGTGCACCTCCTTCAGTCGCCTGCCCCCACAGGCTGAGCCCACCCTGCTTGGATGGCGGTGTCCTTGCCTGGGCCCCCCGCGTGGGCTTCTCCAAATGCGAGGCTGGGCCTGTGCTGCCCTCTGCCCCAACCTCCCCCCCCCGCCCCCTCCTCCTTCGGCCTCCATGAGTGTCATCCTCTCGGCTGGGCGTTAGCAGTGCATCTACCCCCAAGGTTTCCTCTGTGGCCCTGATTCGGTCCAGCTTGTGCCCCTGTTCCCAGGAGCGTCTGGTTATGGCTGGCCCCCGCGGCAGACTGGCCCCCACGCCCCGGGCTCGGGACTGAGCCTGCCCTGGGGTTCTGGACTCCACAGTCCCGGCATTATCGGAGCACATCCAAGGGGCCCCCGAGCCAGCTCCGGGCCCAGGATGCCAGTGCTGGGGACGGGGCAGGGATGGGGCACTGGCGGTCTCCACACGCCACCCCCGCAATCCGAGCCCCCATGAAGTGGGGTTCCTGCGGCTGTCTGGCAGTGCCGCCCCGGTGCGCTGATCCAGCCCAGTTCTCAGGGCTCGGCTTCTGGCACTGCCAGGCCATTGTAGGGGGGCTGGGGGGGCATTTGCTCACTTGTTCCGCCAGCAGCACGTCTGCGTCCATGTGGTCGCATGTTCTGGGAACCGGCGGGCGGCCCTCGGCTTCCGGAGCTGGTGGCACAGGAAGTGACTCACCACGAGGACCTCAGGGCGAGCGGCACACGGAGTCGGAGTTTCTGTCCGTCCTGAGCGGGGGGGCCTGCACCAGGCCTCTGGGGGCGAGGGCTGTTCTGTTTCACACCGCAGGCGGAAACTGAGGCAGGAGCCGCGGGCCCGGGGCGGCCACGGCCGCAGAGTGGGTGGCAGATGGAGGGTGAGCGCAGGCTGCGGCTCCAACCTGGGCTCAGGCTGCCAGCAGAGCCACCTCCTGTGGGCTCCGCGTTGGGTTAAAACACCACCAGCCCAGGAAGCAGAGGAGACCGACGAGGCTGCTGCGTCCCGGTGTCTCCAGAGCTGCCCCCTTCAGAGGGGCTGAGGGGTCGGCTGGCTCCAGGCTCAGGTCCAGGTCCTTCCTTCGCCCCTGACCCCTGTGTGGGCTTCTTGTGGACCGACCCTCTGCTGTCACCACTCTCCATCCTGTCCCCCGTCCTCCGTCCCTTTCTTGTTTTCTTTCTTTTTTTAATAAATTTATTTATTTATTTATTTAGTTTTGGCTGCGTTGCGTCTTCATTGCTGTGCGCAGGCTTTCTCTAGTTGTGGCGAGCAGGGGCTACTCTTTGTTGTGGTGCGCGGGTTTCTCATTGCGGTGGCTTCTCTTGTTGCGGAGCATGGGCTTCAGTAGTTGTGGCACGTGGGCTCAGTAGTTATGGCTTGCGGGCTCTAGAGTGCAGGCTCAGCAGTTGTGGTGCACGGGCTTAGTTGCTCTGCGGCATGTGGGATCTTCCCGGACCAGGGCTTGAGCCCGTGTGCCCTGCGTTGGCAGGCGGATTCTCAACAATCTGCGCCACCAGGGAAGTCCCCCCTTTCTTGTTTTCTTGCTCAAATATCGATTGAGCACTCGTGTGCTGGACACTTACAAAGCCCTGAGGATACACCTTTGGGGACGCGGCCCCTGCCCTTGGGGTTCATAGTCGTCAGGGAGACACCCTGGAAGGACATTCCCAGTGTGCATCTTGCCTCTGAGCCTCTACCCGTCCTTTCCCTCTGTTCTTATTCCTGCTCTGACTTGCAAACTTCTATGCATCCTTTGAGACCCCACCCAGGCAGAGCCACTGGGCTGACGACTGAGATCGGGGCTCTCCCTCGTGCACAGGGTCCCACAAAGATTGGGCCCTGCTTTCCAGCCTCCGGAACGCCCTCCGTCTTCTGCTTTCCTTGGAGTCACACGACTCCCCTAGTTCAATCCCGAAGATGTTGCCAATGTGCCGACTCATGTCACCAGAGCGTGTGGCTAAGTGAGAGTTGAAATGACCCTGGGGTTGGCACGTCGGAGGCTGGGTTCTCCCCAGCGAGCAGATGCAGGGGCGGCTGACCTTTGGCCCAGAGCCCTGTCCTTGTCTTTCGAGGAGCCTCAAGGGCCCACCGTCGGGGTCCCGTGAGATGTGCCTCCCTGGCTGGTGTGCTCCACGCAGATGCGAGAGCCCAAGCCTTGTGGTTTCCTGGCTGCTGCCTGGACCTGGGCTCTCATGCCCGGAGTGGCAGCATCTCTGTGTTACTCCACATGCGGGGTCGGGTGGAGGCCCTGTGGGTGCCCCCAGTACGTCTGCCCCGCCCTCTGTCCCCATTAATCCACCTCCCACCACCCTCCTCGGCAGACCCCGTGCACAGTGAAGATGCCCTCTCCCTTGCAGGGAGGAATGGCCCCAGGTGCTGGCGGCCACCTCCCCTCTGAAGGTGTGAGCACACGGGAGGGTGTGAGAGGCGGGCGCCTACTGGACCCACCACTGCCTGAGCGGAGATGCTGCAACCGGCCACAGGGCTGAGCGCTGGCGGGAACCCTACCTGATGGGTGGTGGGCCTGGGGGGGTGGGGCGGGGGCTGTCCCTCGAGACAGTCCCCTTGGCCCCAACCGCTCAGCCCTGGGTGTCCTTGCCCACTCGCCCCATCCGGACTCAGGACCCCCGTCCCAGCAAACTGTAGAGTGCCAGGTGCTCTCACCTGCTGGCCCGCACCTCCATCTGTGAGTGAGGGGAGGGGCTGGCTTGGCCCACTTGTCTGGGCAGGACCCCTCCCGGCCCCCAGGGATGTCAGTCACTGAGCTGGGTCTCTCCAGGCGGGGGACATGGGGAGGCGACCGTGTGACAGGGAAGTGGGGTCACTTGCTGTTGCTGGGGTTACAGGCAGGTCCAGCCCTCCCCGCAGCAGCTCAGGTACGAAGGCAGCTGTGAGATGCCTGAGCCCGGATGCCTGGGCACTGTGGGTGGAGGCCACTTTCTGGCTGACTCTCCAATTCGGGACAGTCAGCCCGGATGGGACAAGGCGGTGACTTGGGGGCTGCCCCTCCGTCAGTCTCATCAGAGTTTCCAGCTGCTGGTGGGCGTGGGAGGGCCGGGCGGGGCGAGGAAGCCTGCAGAGGGAGCTCCTGTGATGTGGGCGTGAGTGCACGATAAACATGCAGGGCCTGAGCCTTGTGGGTGAGGCCACGTTTAAAGGAATCAAAAGATGCTCAGTCAGGAACCTGGGGTGAAAAAGGGGGCTGCTGACTACCAGCACGCATTCTAATAATGACAGTTACCACCGCTCTGGGCACGAAGCTGCAGCTTCTCCCGGGCCTGGAGCCGTGTTTTGTTTGCTCCTTTCTGGGGAGCAGGGGAGTGACCCCTGACCAGGGACTGGCCGCTTGTGAGGGTTCCGAGGGTGGCTTTTAAGGCTTGAGTGAGGCCCATCCTGTGAGGGCGGCGGGAGTGGAGACTGTGTCTGTCACGTTGTTGCCCTGAAGCCCCCAGGACGTGGGCTCCCCCTCGGAGGCCCCATCCTGGCCTTTAAACGGGCATGGTTTGGGGGTGGTCATCCAGAGCCCCCCTTCTGCAGGCTGGATGCTGCCCTCTGACCAACGGCGCCCTGGGGTGGGGGTGGGGGGACGGCCAGGTGACCGGATGCCAAAAACATCAGCTTGGTTTAAATTACGGTTTTCCAGAGAGACGCAGAGAGTGCTGGCTGCAGTGTGTGTGTCACTGAGAGCTATAATCCATTTTCCTAAGTATAAAAATATCTCCCAATTTGTTTTATTCGTGGAACGTAGCATTTCCACTTGAAAGGACACTCCTCGGCTGACCTTACAGGCTCAGGAGCGCGGTTCCTCCCCGACGCTTCCAGGCCTTTGGTGCTTCAGGGCCTCCTTGGGGGGGGGTCTACCCCACCCCAGGCTCCAGCCCCCCCCGCCCAGGGCTCCCCCTGTTTCACGAGATGTCTGTGAGGAGACGTCTCCAGAGGTGGGAGGGGCCTCCTGGGGACAGGGCACCCCAGGCTGTCAGGCTCCACGCGTCATGGCCCGCCAGTCTGCTTGCCTGGTGTTCTGTTTTTTTATTTTTTAATTGGTAAAGTACACATAACGTAAAAGTTGACATCTTAACCGTTTTAAGTGTCTGGTTCAGGGGCATTAAGCACATTCGTACTGTTGTGCAGCCATCACCACCATCATCTCCAGAACTTTCTCGTCTTCCCAAACTGAGACTCTGTCCCCATTAAACACTAACCCTCAGCCCCAGGCCCCCACCCTCTCCTTGCCATCTCTGTGACCCTGACGCCTCCAGGGACCTCAGAAGTGGAACCACACAGGGTCTGTCCTCCTGGATCTGAGGACATCATCTCACTGACCGTCACATCCTCAGGGTTCATCCATGTTGTAGCAAGTGTCAGAGTTTCCTCCCTTTTTAAGGCTGAGTCACATTCCACTGCATGGATGGCCCACATCTTGTTTATCCGTTTACCTGTCATGCCCGCCTTTGTGGCTGCCACCCTGAGCCGTGCTGCTGTGGACGACAGGCTGTGCAGGGACCTGGGCGTCCTGCTCTCAGGTGTCTCTGCTGACCGGCCACTTCCTGGGCGCTGGGTGGCCATGGCCCCGAGCCGGCTGTGAAGCTTTCCTGCAGCATCTCACCCACAGGGTGTGTCTGGGGGCCCAGCACCTCTCTTGGTTCCCTGCTGAGGTCCTGGTGGCCCTACTGTGGCCAGAGGCTGCTCTGGAATCACGGACAGGTGACCCAGAGCCCCCTGTGTGGTGGTGGTAATGTGATGACAGCTCGGGGAGGGGACCAGTCCTCGTGCACACCCCACAGCGGGCCCTTGACGGGGCGCATGGTCACCCTGGAAGTAAGTGGCGCTTCAGACATGGATTGGGATCCTGATGGGACCCTGCCCTCTGGGACCTCGGAGAGCGCGATGTCTGTTGGGGGAGGGCGGGAGGAGGCCCAGGTGTGGCAGGTTCCGAGGAGGGAACCTGGCTGGCGGCTGGCCACCCCTGAGGAGTGGCTGCTGACCCCGTGGGACTGGTCCACGTGACCCGGGCACCACAGACAGGGAGCTGGGAGGGAGTCTCTGGGAGGAGTTGTCTCTCAAGCAAAACCAGACAGTCGACTTTCCCCAGGTGTTTTGGGCTAAAGAGGGTTTAGGCTCGGAACCGGGTTTACCTGAGAAGCGCGGCCGACATACCTGGACTCACCTGCACAGACTCACCTGCTTGGACGCCCCGTCTCTTTGTGGCCGGAGCCTGGGAGCTGGGCCGTTAACTTTTTCTCACCATCTGTGAAACCAAAAACAACAGCGGCTGGCACGCCCTACTCGCTTCCTTGCCCGGGCGGCTCCGGGTTGCGTGGGAAGTGGCTGCAGGGGGCAGGGGGGCTGAGGCCGCGGGACCCCCCATCCAGTGTAGCGGAAAACTCAGTGACTGATTCTGTCTCCACTCACCCAACAGTTATTTCAATTGAATTCCTGTTTTCTGTGGAGTCGAGTGTTGAACCGAAGTGTCCCGGGTTTGGGGGCAGGCGGGGAGGCGGCCCCCCTGGCGTTCTCAGCTGCTCGTCTGTTTTGGCGGGGCCGAGGTCCCCATCTCAAGTCCCCCTTGATGGGAGCGCAGTGCTACCTGTGATGCTCGACCCAATCAGTCACCGTCTCCACCTCTGTCCAAAGTCGAATCAGAGCTGGTCCATCGTGGGCAGGTGTCAGCATCACCTGCTGAGGTCCTGGCCTCTGGGCTGCACCCCTGGGGGTCTGATTCAGTCGGTCGTTGTCGGGGGTTGGGCGGGGAGGGGGGCGTGCACCTGGGTTTCCGCAGGTTCCCAGGTGGTGCTGTGCACCTGGTCCGCACACCGCCTGTTGAGTAACGTGGTCGAAGGCTGTGCTTCTGGGACGCCCCTCGCTCCTCCCTGCTCCCCTCCCGCCGCCCCGAGCTGGGCTCCAGCTGCAGCAGGGGGAGCCTCCCAGATGTGAACCTGGCCTCAGCCGTGCTGGAACCTTCTGGTCCTGAGACGAACATCTCCCTGTGTGGTCTTGCTGCATCCAGTGCCCTTCGAGTTCAGTCCTGCCTCAGGGCCTTGGCTCGTCCTGTCCCCCCGCCTCAGATCTCTTCCCCCGGTCTTTTCAGGGGGCCCCTCAGGCTGGGCTCGAAGTCACCTCTTCAGAAGTCCTGTCTGCACGGCCTGGACTGTGGCTCCGCCTTCCCTTCTCTTCAGGGCCTGTGCTTGTTTCCACGACATAAGGCTTGTGTGGTGAGCACCGACCGGTCGGCCACTAAGTCCCGGTGAACAGGAATCCACACGCTCTAAACCGCTGAACCCAGCAGGTAGAGCGTGCAGGACACCCAGGTTGCTGGGGGTGACAGCGAGTGAGCGAATGAACAAAGATCAGCGGGGCGGGAGCTCTGGGCTCAGCCGGGGAAGCTGAGGCAGCGGCGGGAGCACAGACGTAGCCCGGTAGGGCCTCCCACCGCTTCTCTTTAAAAGAAGGAAAAACAAAACTGAAACAAAGCACGATGTATCCCCTTTGCGCGCCAGCTGGGCGGGGGCCGGGCACCGTGCGGCCTTGGCGACAGAGGCCAGTGTCCGAGAAGGATGGCCCTTTGTGCTCCGAGGGACGGCCCTGCCCGGCCTGGGCTCTGCACAATGCTCTTCTCTGACGCCTCTGAGGACGCTGTCGGGACCTCGGTGAGGAAGGGTCCTCACGGCCCCCCGGTGACGCGCTCCGGCCTAGGTGCCCTTGGTCCTGTGTGCCCTGCGGCAGCAGCTGCCTACGTGCTCTTTGGGGACACACCCTGGGGAAGTGGAGGTGCACCCGCTGCTGGTGCCTCTCCTAAGCCACCTACCCTGTTCCCTGGGGGACCCTGTGCTATTTGGTGGGTGATGGGGGTGGCCTGCCCCCCCGGCAGCCATCCGAGGCGGTGGTTCCTTCTCCCCCTGAGGTGGGAGCCGGGAGGCCGCACACCCTCCCCAGGCTCCGTATGTCCGGCGAGGCTCCCAACCCGAGATCCGTGGTCCTCTGAGCCCACGTCGCTGTGGTGTCCCCGCACCGAGGGAGCAGGTGCGGGCGCCAGGGGAGGGCCGACTGGTGCAGCCCAGGGAGATGGCGTTCAGCAGATCGCGCGGATACCCCCGTGATGCCACCAGTGCTACCCCCACCCCCTGCATCACCCACGAGAGTGAGGGCGTTTAGTCACATGCGAGAAGGTTCGAGGCCCCCTTCGGAATCAGAGCTGAAACTAGACAGCGTCCGTCACCCACAGCCTGGGGAGTGGCAGTGCGGCAGTGAGAACGGACGGACTGGACCCAGCGCTCAGACTCGCCTGGCACAGAAGGACGTGCTGGGGTTCCTCTCAGCTGCACCGCGGTCATCTGAAGGCACCTGAGCCCTCGAGGGGCCCCGGGAGTTCCTGGCACCTGGAAACGTCCCGCGCCCTGACCTGAGTGGTGGGGAGACTCACTGCGCTGCACGCTTAGGGTCGTACAGGTTAAGGTTTGAGAGTTGTATCCACGCAGAGAGGATTTTACAAACACACAAGCCCTGTGAACGGAGGACCAGCCGCGAGGGGAGCTGGTGCCAGCCCGGCCGAGCCTGGGTCACCGTGACTGCCCCTCCACAGACTCTGGTCCCCTTTGAGAAAACCACAGGTGGCGGCTCTGGGGGTGCGCTCTGTGGGGGGGGGGAGCATCTCAGGGCACAGCCGGGCGGACACACTCCCTGCGTCGTGGGGAGGATGGGCGTCGCCCTGATTCCTCGAGGGCCTTGCTGAGTGGGAGCTGGCATCTTCTCCCCGACACCTGGCAGGGGCGTCGTGCAGGCTCACTGCGCGGGCAGGGGCTCGCGGGGACAGAGGTGCAGGCCCCGGGTCGCTCTGTAAACTGTCATCTCCATTCCCCTGACACCTTGTGGGCAGGCCGGCCACTGCTCCCCAGGCTGGCTCACACCGGACTCCGTTATCACCTGCGTGGTGCCCCGCAGGCTGGCAATTCTGTGCCTCAGTTATTATCAGGATAATGAGTCATTGATTCCATAAGAATTGCTTCCAAGATTCATCGCAATCCATTCTTTCCCGACATGCATGCTTTTTGCCAATGGGAACCATTCTTTAAGCTCATTGACATCGAGGGAATGAACAGTGGTTGTGTTAATTTATAGTAAGCGAATCTGCATAATAAACAATCCGGGCCATTCTTGCAGGATGCGGACGTGCGGTCCCTGGATAGTAGGGACACTGTGCGGCGGGCGCCGCCCTCCCAGGCTGAAAGGGAATCTTGTCCGCCTTCTGGGCTCGGCCCTCGGCTCCAGCCTCCGCTCCCATTGACTGCAGGCCTGGGCGCTTGGGTGCTGCCCACGGGGAGCGGAGGCCCTGGGGAGGCCCAGGGAGCCTGGCTCCTTCCCGGCCGTGGGGCCTGCCGGTGGAGGTGGGCCAGGGGCCGGGCTGCTCCCCGGAGCCTCAGGCAGCAGGAACGGCAGGGAGGGCTGTCTGTGAACGAAGTGGAGGGGCCCGCATGGGTGGGGCGAGAGCGCCATGGCAGGGGTGACTCGCTGGTGTGCAGTCAGGGAGCCCGAGGCCCAGGTGCACAGCCCACCTCTAGTCCGTGAGGAGCTGAGTCGCAGGCCAACCTGGGAGGTGGCGGGACTCGCTCTTCTGCGGACCGGGAGCCTCAGCAGTGCGTCCAGCTGGGGCCTGGCCAGTCTCGTCGGCACTGACCGCTGAGGGCCTCCGCCTTTGTGCCCGTCCAGCCTTGGCTCTGGGTAGGGCTGGGTGTGAGGCAGGTGCCTTGGCCGATCCTGGGCCTGGGCAGGGCAGTGCTGAGTTCTGCCTGCCTGCAAGGGATCTGGGGGCTGCAGCAGCCTTGTGCCCTCCTGGTGGATGGAACGGAGGGCTCCCTGTGCAGGAAGCAGCAGTGTAACCCCAGGCCCCCGTGACGCTGCCCCTCTGTCCCCCAAAGGTGTATGTGGACGGAGGGTGGGTGGCCCCAGACCCCGTGACGCTGTCCCCCTGTTCCCTGAAGGTGTATGTGAACGGAGAGTGGGTGACCAGCATCAGTGAAGGCGGCAGCTTCGGGGAGCTGGCCCTCATCTACGGCACCCCCAGGGCGGCGACTGTGAAGGCCAAGACGGACCTCAAGCTCTGGGGCATCGACCGGGACAGCTACCGGCGCATCCTCATGGTGAGTGAGTGGTGCCTGCGTGGAGGCTTCGCCAGGGCTGGGAGGGCAGCCAGCCGAGTCTCATGCCCACCGAGCATCTCGCGGGAACCCTGGTTGTGTCCAGGTGGGGCCATAAGTAGGGATGCGATGGGTGGCGAGTGTCGGGAGGGGGTTCAGGAAAGTTACCCAAGAGGCAGGCAGACAGCTGGGGAAGCCCCTTTTGCTTTCCTCCCCCATTCTCCTTGCAACTGTCTGGAACGTGGTTGCGATGGCTGGAGTTCCAACTGCCATTCTTGACCATGAGGTGACGTTCCCCAAGGTGGTGGAGCGAATCACTGAGAGGAGCCTGGCCTCTGGGGGCACAGTGGGACCGCAGTACCGGGCAGGCTGCTGGCCTCTAGGATTCCTTACTTGGGGACTGTCATTTTAGGTTTTCTCACACGCAGCCAGCTCCTCTCTTAGTTGGCATGGTGTGGGTGTAGGTGCGCACACCTGTGGAGGCTCGCCGTGGGGCTCTCGGGAGCAACGGGGCAGATGTTCATGGAAGGCGCCGGAGATGAGCCTGTGCGCTGAGAAGGCCCGTCCCAGGCAGAAGAGGCGGGATCTTCCCGTGCCCGCTGAGTGTCCGTCCTGCACACGCACTGCCGGATTCTCGGTGCTGGGACCCGTCAGGGGACTGGGAGGCTGACATGCTGGAGGAGATGACGGAGCAAACATACACCTCCTGTTGGCAGTTTCCACGGAGAATGATAGAGCAGAGAGGGGCAGAGGTGGGGGCGGGGGGCTGATGTTTTAAAGAAAGCCCTGAGGCCCCCCTCCCTGAGACCCTTTTTGTGACGAGGTGGTGTCGAGCAGAGGCCTGGAGCAGGGAGCCCTTGGCTGTCCAGCGGGAGAGTGTTCGGGCAGTAGAAACAGCCAGTGCACGGGCCCTGGGGTGCAGGCCTGGCTGGCCTGTTCGTGGACCAGTGGGGAGACAGTGAGGATGCTGGGATCCTGTGGTGGGTGGGGCGGGGGCCTGGACTCAGACTCTGAGTGCACCGGGGGCCCTGGCAGGATTGTGGGCAGAGAAGTGGCAGGAGCCGCCCTGGACCCGGTGATGCCCTGGCACTTGGGGGCCTTCTGGGTGGTAGTGGAGAGAGTCCCGATTCGGGAGGGGTGGAGGGAGGTCCTGGCTGGCCACTCTGGTCTGGGGGTGGTTCCCTTGTGGCCGCAGGTCTCCGGGCAGAGGCCCCTGGGAGCTGAGTGCCCCGTCCTCGTGGAAGTCACACTCCTTGGCTGTCCGTGCTCGCCAGTGGTGACCGCCAGGTGCTTTTCTGCTGGTCAGGGCTGGTGCTGGAGGACCTGGGCGGGGGTGGGCTCATTCCTGAGGGCAGCCCCCAGGGGCTAGCGACGGTGTTTGCTCAAAGGCCGCCCCTGTGGGCCTGGGATCCGAGGAGTCCCGACAGCATGGAGGGAGGTGACCCAGGTGAGCACATTGCTGGGAGACCCTGGAGGTGGATGTGCCGCTGCCAGGTGCCCTTTGGGCCTTGGTTGTCTCCTGAAGGCCAGCCTGGGCGGTGCAGTTTCTGGGGTGCGGGCTGTGGTTTGGGATGCTCTGGGGGAGGCCTGGGGAAGGTCTGGGATGTTTAGGACAGGCTCTGTGAGCTCAGTCCCAGCTGAGCCTGGAGAGCCGGTCCTGCCCCGGGGGCCCCTCCAAAGGGGAACGAGGGAGAAAGGATTGCTGGCTGCTGTCCTGGCTCCGCTGTAGCTCCTGGTCCTTTGTGATGCAGGGAGGGGTCAGTTCAGTCCTGGGGGCATCTGCTTCGTGCGGCTCGTCGTCTGTGCACTCGGGGTCATCCACTGGGGGAGGCACTGCCCTGCCCTGCCCTGTGAGGTGAGTCCTCGTGGAATGCGGCTCCCGCTCTTTGGTCTTAAACCTGCCCATTCCTGTTTTCTCCGGGAGAGATCACTGTCTGTGGGGGGAGGCGCCCCAGGCACCCTCCCCCTCCCTGTCTCCTCTGGATGCACCTGGCCCGTTGCATAAGCCGTTGTTTCTCCGCCATCGTCCACGCCGAGTCGGAGTCGTCCTTGGCTGTGGGATTTTTGTGGCTGGAACGGTACATTCAGGGAAGCTCCCAAACCACCAAGGCAGCTGGCGCTTCCTCTGTTTTAATTCTGGCCCCCCGGGCACTAAGAATAGCTGCGGCTGCGCTGGGAGCCTACAGAGCCCCTGCGTCTTGGGGAGAAAATGACAGTGTGGCCCACTCGGAAGGGAGTGTCCGTGGACGGCATCCATTGCTGCATCAGCCCGTGGCTTGAGCGGACTCGGATGCGCCCATCGTGCGACGACTGGACCCTGAGCTAGACACGCGTGGGGGACGCAGGATGGAGGCTGGTAGTGTCTCCAGGGAGAGGGCCACCCACCTCTGAATCCCAGAACATCAGACCCGAGAGGCTCCGCTGCTCCACGTGCTACAGACAGACAGACGGATGGACGGATGGAGCTTGGCGAGGCCAGCCACGTGCGCCGCCTCTGAGCAGGATGGGGGCTCGACCCCCTCCGGGCCCCCAGGCAGGGGCCAGCGACCCCGGACTTCATTCTTTCAAGCTTCAGTACCTTTCGTTCACCCTGAATCTTATGTGAGACCCCAAGTGGGAATTGATGAGTGCAAAATCCTGTTGTGGAGTCTGGGCTGGAGTCTCCAGAGCCCCACTTGCCTGGGGGTCCCGAGACCCCCGGAACCAGGTCCTGAGCCGCAGCGCTGAGCTCTCACCCCACCTGCTTGGGCCCCTGGCTCCCATCCATGAAGTGGGGCAGCAGGAGCCTGGGACCCCCTTCTCGTGGGAGCTGGGGCGGTGTGTGTGTGTGTGTGCACGTGTGTGCTTCAGTTCATGGCTGCAGGGCCGGTCAGGATTGAACACGTCAGGGGAAAGGGCGTTTGGAGTGGTCGGTCCGGGTCGAAGGGTCATCTTACCCGACGTAGATTCCTCCTCCGCCTGGCAGGTTCGCACCCTCCCCCGAGCTGCGTCCCGGGGGGCAGGCCCTCTGTGAACGCTCTATACCCAGGGGGGTGTGTGCTATGGCCAGAGCCCTGCTGTCTGCCGGGACCCAGGTCCCCAGCCTGTCCTCGGGGCCGGCTCAGTCCACGCAGGTGGGGCCTGGGGGGCGGTGGGCCTGGATTTCGCAGACATTTTAGATTCCAGTCTTAGGACAGAACGCTTCCCCGGGGACAGCGGGGTGCAGTGGAAGGTGCAACAGAAGGAGCCTCACGTTGGGCATCGGGGTTCCGGGCTGGCCTCACGCCTGCGGCAGTGGGGCGGGGCTGGGGGCGGGGCCGTGTCTCCAGCTACAAGCGGCCCCGAAGTGAGGTTCCAGGCCCCGCTGCTGGCGGTGAGGTGGGAGGTCAGGAAGTGCTGTCTTCCCCTCCCTGCCCTGCCCATGCATCCCCGTCCATCTGTCCCGGGTCAGGTGAGGGCGCCGCTCTAGTGCCCTGCAGGGGAGGGGGAGGGGCGCGTGAGTAGTGGCCAATGCTGTGGTGGGACATAGATGGTCTTTCTCTGCGGTCTCTGTTCCTCAAAGTCGGCCCGACGGGACCCCAGCACAGAGATGTGGAAACCGAGGCTGCAGGAACCAGGGAGATGGGCGGAGCTGAGCCGGACCAGGCCCCGTGCCCCCCGCAACCAGCGTGGGTCCTCTGCAAGCATCCATGAGGACAAGGGTTCCAGGCCCCGCTGGCTCCTTCCCTCAGTGTGGCCTTGGGCAGGCCCCGTACCTGTGACGGGAGTTGTACGTAGGGCCAGCCTCACCAGGCGCAAAGCCCACCTTGGGGCTGCCGGCAGATGCAAGTGGGGGTCCTGGCAGCCCCCAAGGTGATGGGCCGGCGCCCCGGACACCTGTGTGATGCATGAAGCGACAGTGGGGGCTCCCGGCCCTGCCTCCCCGTCCGTCTCATCCCAGGGGGAAAGCTTCCAACGGGAGGCGCCTTGGTCAGCCTTGGAGGCGGGTCTCCTTGCCCGAGGGTCCCGGGCGGCCACCTCCAGCTGTCATCCTGCGGCGGGAGATGGATGGGCCAGTTGTGCTGAGCTTTAATGTCTAGGGTTCCTGGGCAAACACGCCTGCATTCCAGCGGGTGGGCGGAGCTGCTGGGAGGTCAGCGGGAATATAAATTATCTTTCAAAAGAAACGCCTTTCTCGAGACCGGCGGGGTCTGAGACGGCTCGGCTCGGGCTGGGGGCTGAGCTGAGCTGAGCATGCTGCCACCGCAGGCATCTAGACCCGCCGCAAGCGGACACACAGGGCCCCAAGACTCCTAGGTTCTGCCACTGACCACCTGGACGCCGTGTCCCCTCCGTGGCCGCCAGCCGCGGTGCAGGAGCTCCATCTACACCCTGTTGGTCCAGTTACCATGTGGTCTTGGGTCCCAGCCCTGTGGGGCTCTTTGCTGGATGGAGGGGCCCTGGGGTGTGTGCGCTTCTGTGAGGGAGGCAGGGAGAACCTCCAGGATTCCAGATTCGAGACTTGCAGCCTCTTTAACGCTGGTCTGGCCCTGAGCCACGCAGAGCCGACGGGGAGTCTGAGGCCGGGTCGGGGGGGCGGTGCCGAGGTCCTCTCACCATGTCAGCTGACCGATGTCTGCTCGCGTAACTTTCACAGAATCCTGTGGGACAGGAATTAAGATACCCCATCGTCCAGATGAGGAAACTGAGGCTCAGAGAGGGAGAGCTGGCTCGGGGCGTGCAGATACGGAGTGAGGGGTGCGATTGGAACCCGGGGCTTCTGAACCCGCTGGAGGTTCAGGCCTCCTGGCTCACCCCATCCCGTGGGTCTGGATGAGGCCCAACCTTACGTGTGCGGTTAGGACGGAGACCCCGGAGGGGGAGGTGCGGGGAGGTCTGGGCCGTGAACGGCGGCCGCCACTCAGGCCCTTGCTTGTTCAAGGGGCTTCCGGGGTCTCCTTTTAGGAGTTCAGAGTCACTTGGGGAATTTGGGAATGTGGAAGGGGTCGGGGCGGGAAGCCCTTCTGAACACCTGCTTCTCTGTGTCTCCCCCTCCCGCAGGGCAGCACACTAAGGAAGCGCAGGATGTACGAGGAGTTTCTCGGCAAAGTCTCCATCCTGGGTGCGTCCCGCCCCTGGCTGCCCGGGGCTGCGGCCCAGCCGTTTCCACATGCCGTGCAAGTTTGGGACACACATGCGTGCTCACACCTGTGCAGTGCGCCCACACACACACATGCACACACAGATGTATCGTGTATGCAGGCATGTACGTGCCCACGAACACACACACACACACACACGCACACACACACACTCAGTGTCTGCCCTCCATCCATCCGTGCTTCGCATGTCCGTCTCTCTACCATCAACGCCTTTCTCTCCATGTTGGTCCATTTGGAGCTGTGTCGAGCATCTTTCCTGACCTGTTTGGGTTTTCCTCCATGGGGGTTCTCGTGTGCCCCCCACTTTTCTCGTCCTGGGATCTGAGAGGCACGTTGGCCACATTTCCACTGACCGTCGGGAGTGTCAACAGGTTCTCTCCAGCAGAAGATTTTCAGCGTTTTGAAGTTGCTTTGACATACACGACAACGACGTATCATTTTGGACCAGCCTGCCCAGTAGAACTTTTGGCAGCAATGCAGGTGTTCCGTATCCGTGTGGAACACTTGAGAATTTTAATGTTATGTCATTTTAATCAGTTGGAATATGAATCAGTGTGTGTCTAGCAGCTCCCCTTAAGGACAGGGAGTGGACCCGCTTGGGAGAGCGAGTGACGTCTAAGTGCTAAGGCCCTGGGAACCGCGGGAAATAACCGTCCGGCAGGAGTTCCTGCGGGAACATCACAGCCTTAAAAACCGCAGGCTGGACTTCTGGGTGCAGGTGGGGCGTGAGGCTTAGCCTCCTTTTCTAAGAACCTTTGGAGTGAGAAGGAGAAGGAGCAGGTGCACTTTCGTGGGTGCAGAGACGCCAAGGAGACAAGAATACACAATGGAGAAAAGGCGGCCTCTTCAGTCAGTGATGCTGGGAAAGTGTGAAGCTAGAGCACTCCCTAACGTCACACACAAACCCTCAAAATGGACTAGCGACCTAAATGTAGGACCGGACAGGATAAAACTCCTAGAGGAAAACATAGGCAGGACACTCTGACGTAAGTCACAGCAAGATCTTTCTGGCTCTGCCTCCTGGAGTAATGGAAATAAAAAACAAGAATAAACAAATGGGACCTAATTAAACTTAAAAGCTTCTGCACAGCAAAGGAAACCATAAACAAAACGGAAAGACGACCTACAGACTGGGAGAAAATATTTGGAAGTGATACTACTGACAAGGGTTTAATTTCCAAAATATACAGACCGCTGATACAGCTCAATATCAAAAAAACAACCCATTCAAAAAATGGACAGAAGACCTAAATAGACATTTCTCCAACGAAGACATACAGATGGCCAACAGGCACATGGAAAGATGCTCAACATTGCTAATTATTAGAGAAATGCAAATCAGAACTACAATGAGGTACCACCTCACACTGGTCAGGAGGGCCGTCATCAAAAAGTCTACAAATAACAAATGCTGGAGAGGGTGTGGAGAAAAGGGAATCCTACACTGTTGTTGGGAACGTAAATTGGTGCAGCCGCTATGGAGAACGGTATGGAGGTTCCTCGAAAAACTAAAAATAGAGATACCATTTGATCCAGCAATCTCACTCCTGGGCACGTATCCAGAAAAAAACTATGATTCAAGTAGATACATGCACCCCAGTGTTCACAGCAGCACTGTTCACTATAGCCAAGACATGGAAACAACCTAAATGTCCCTGGACAGATGAATGGATAAAGAAGATGTGCTGTATATATATACAGTGGAATATTACTCTGCCATAAAAAGGAATGAAATAATGCCATTTGCAGCAACATGGATGGACCTAGAGATTATCCTACTAAGCAAGTAAGTCAGAAAGAAAAATACCATATGGTATCACTTATGTGTGGAATCTAAGAAAAATGATGCAAATGAACTTACTTACGAAACAGAAAGAGACTCACAGACATAGAAAACAAACTTATGGTCACCAAAGGGGAAACGGGGTGGGGTGGATAAATTAGGAGTTTGGGATTAGCAGATACACGCCACTGTATATAAAATAGATAAGCAGCAAGGCCCTACTGTAAAGCACAGGGAACTATATTTAGTATCTCGTAATAACCTATAAGGGAAAAGAATCTGAAAAAGGATATATATGTATATATATATATATATATATATAATGTGTATATATATATATATATAACATGTATATAACATTTATATATATATAAATGTTAGTAATTAGCATATTAATTGGTAGTTTGAAAGTGGATGCTTGTAATAAAGCAGTGTTTGTGGTCTCAAGTAGGTTAGACCAGTTTGCTTCATAAATCAGTTTAACAAACCACACCTTAGCAACCATCCTGAATTCTGTGCAAATGCAGTGTGGGAGTGAAGCCTTGCTCTTTCTTTGTGTTCTTCTGTCTTTCTTTTAGTTTCTCCAAGTTGGCCCCCTCCCCCTTCCAACGCAGTCTCCTTTTGTAGCACTGCAGCCCTTTTTCATTCTCAGCTGTGGCAAGCTTTAGCAAGTATTTCGATTTTCAATTCACTTAGCTAAACCTTAAAAAAAATTAACTACTGTTCACAACTTGGTAGAATTATAGCCAGATTTTGCAGAGAGCTTGTGAAATGGCAGCCAGATGGCCGTGGAGTCTGAGTCTTACTCTGGAAACCGTAGCAGGTTTTCTGTCTTGATGACGTTCTGTGTGCAAGCTTACCTGGCTTGGGGGCCTGACACCCCGTTTGTGGCAGCGACGCTTGTGTCACACAGCAGGACGGAAGGAGGGGGCACCCGACCCTGGGGTGCAGCATTGGGGCAGGACTGGGCAGGACTGAGTGAGAACCTGCTGCTTTTCTGGTGTTTGGACTTGAATTTTAGAAAACAAGTTATGCTTCTGGGCAGATCAAACCCGGTGGGTTACCTGCTGTTGCAGTCCTGACTCTCAGGACGATGCTGCCCACCAAGCACCAGCTAAGGCTTGTAGGCACTTCAGGTGGCACATGGTGACGGAAGGCCCTACAGGAGCCTACGAATGTCACTTCGACATTTATAACAAAACTCTGCCCTCCATCTTCCAGAGGAGAGGCTGGCATATGAAGTACCATAGTGCCAGGCACTCTGACGGTATGATTTACTCGGGTATTTTGTGACCATACAACCAGGATCAGACCTGGATTCCAATCCCAGCACCGATTATTGGCTGTGCAGCCTCAGACAGATCATTTAACCTCTCAGAGCCTCAGTTTCCCCATCTGCGAAATGGGGACTTCTATCTTGCTGGTTGTTGTGAGGATTAAATGAGATCATTTATGGAAAGCACTCTGTGGTTGGAACTCAAGAAATACTTGATAGGGACTTCCCTGGTGGAGCAGTGGTTAAGAATCCGCCTGCCAATACGGGGGACATGGGTTCGAGCCCTGGTTGGGGAAGATCCCACGTGCCGCAGAGCAACTAAGCCCGTGCACCACAGTTACTGAACCTGTGCTCTAGAGCCCACGAGCCACAACTACTGAAGCCCGTGTGCCTTGCGTGACAAGAGAAGCCACCGCAATAAGAAGCCCGCACACTGCAACGACGAGTAGCCCCTGCTCGCCGCAACTAGAGAAAGCCCGTGTGCAGCAACGAAGACCCAATGCAGCCAAAGAAAAGGGAAATACTTGATAAATGTGACACATTATCACTAGATGTCAGATGGCCATAACTGAAGGTGTAACCCTGTAGATAGATGCGGGCACGTGATACTTGTTTGGTTGATCTGAATGGAAGGAAAAACTCGTGAGATTTTAAGGGTGGAAGAGGCACCAGTGGTGGGTAGGTGTTTGGGCACCCCCAGGGTGCACAGGGAGGCCTGGGGCCACCACGTCACTGCCCCGAAGTCCCAGGGTCTGTGCTGCCTCCATCCTGGAGAAGGGAGGGCGCTGTGCCAGATGTCGCCGAGCCCTGCACTTGCCAGCCCTCCTCAGGCGTGGGGGGGAGGGGCGCCCTCCTTAGAAATCCCAGCGCTCGCAAGCCCTGTTCCCCGGATGATGGAGGGGGCGTGCAGCCAGCTCCTCACCCACGAGGCCCCACCTGCGGATGTGCCTTGTGTTGTAGACTCAGGCAGGGAGCCAGGTGCCTTCGCAGTCCCGGGGACACTTGGCTGGTAGCCTGAGCTCCAGGCCGAGTCTTCTGTTTGAGGGTGATGTCAGTGACTTAGGAGTCTGAGGCCCTCTGCAGGGAGACAGCAGGTGACGCTGAAGTGGACGCCGCAGTGTGAAGGGCCAGCGTGGAGATGTGGACATGGGCACAGCTACACGCAGGCTGCGGCCCTGCCACACCAGAGGCTCCGTCAGATTTACCCCAGCCTGTGGCCCAGCGGCAGGCACTGCAGGTGTGGGCACTGCAGGTGCAGGCACAGATGGTGCAGACAGAGGGACCCCGCCCAGATGGAGAAGGCGCTGCCCTGACCCGGCGCCGGCACCGGAGGCGCCGTTCTCTCCAGTCACACAGCACGGCTGTGCCCCGCCCCCTTCAGGGGGCGGCCCTGGGAGATGCCTTCTCTTCCCTGCCCCAGAGGTTGGAGCTGAGTGCACTCGTGGGTCCTCAGTCAGGGCGAGCTCTGTAGACTCACCCGGGAGTCTGCACTGAGGCCGCGGGGAGACGGGAGCGGGTCAGCCAGGCTCAGGGCTCCCACGTGTGGCGCTGAGCTGCTCACACGTACATCTCTGTGGAAATTAAACGCTTGCTTTTGTATTTGGTTTTGTTTTTAGAGCCTTTGAGTAATTAGTGTATGAGAATGAAATAGGACTTTTTTTCTTAACCCATACACTTTAAAAATATTTATTTTTGGCTGCATTGCGTCTTCGTTGCTGCGTGCGGGCTTTCTCTAGTTGCGGCGAGCGGGGGCTACTCTTCGTTGCGGTGCGCGGGCTTCTCATTGCGGTGGCTTCTCTTGCTGCGGAGGACGGGCTCTAGGTGCGCGGGCTTCAGTAGTTGTGGCACGTGGGCTCAGTAGTTGTGACGCACGGGCTTAGGTGCTCCGCGGCACGTGGGAT